GTGTAATCTATGCTTAGTAGAATTACACATTCAGCCTTCCAGGTTTGTTTTGTCCTTAATAGTACACTTGCATAATTCCCTTTAAGCTTTTGAGACAGTACCTAAGGCTTCATAACGTAGTCCATTAGCATAGTGCAGCTCCACCTAAGATTGCCCTTGCTGTTTAGGGCAATTTTCCTGTCATTAAAAGGTACTTGTTGGGCCTTTCTAAACAAATGATACAGTGGAAAAAACTGTTTCCCTATGGCACTAATCATTTTCACAATCAACAGCAGGGACCCTAACAAGCACGCACTGCTCCCTTACAGAAAACTAAAAAGGAACAATACCAGAAAAAAAACAAATACACCAGCTCGGAAATGTAATGAGACACTAAAAAGCAAGACAAGCTAATTACACAAAATATTAATATTTAACGGTTCATTGCACCAATGAAGGAGAAGTTGACTAAGACTAATCTCAAGTGAAGCAGGTCTCCACACGTAGAAAAACAGATTGTCTGCATTTTGACTCCACATACTTCCATATTCCATTATCCTGTTCTTTAGATTGCCATTAGGGCCATTAAATATTGCCATTTACCTGGAAAGATACTCTGTTAAAGCTAAATTAGAGGGTTGTCAAACATGGCTGAAAATGATCTGCACGAGTCAATTTCCAACGTTTTAGCCACTATGTGCAGCTCCAAAGAGGGCAGAGGGAGAAACCGGACTTTTCAGTCTTGATATAATCCTGACCTTCTCTTCAACCTCAACAATGGCACAAAAAGAAGAGTGAATGGAGTATTCATAGAAATATCCTCAATCACTCTGTCGGGAAGAACACGATCCATGTTTTACTCTGGAATGATACACGCAATCACTTGAGGGTGGATCAGCTGGAAACACTTGGTCAGCGACTCCTGAGGGTTTCCTGGTTACTCCCGCTATGGCATGCAAAGACTAAAGATAATTTTTTTTTATTTAATATCCACGTATTCATGGCTGCCGTGCCTTATACTAAACTGAGCCAAGCAGTTGCGATTACGGTCGTTTACGTTGTCTGCAGCTGTTAACACCAGCCCAGACATCGAGGCTCGAGTCACTGGCCAGCTGGGGACGTCAAGCGTCAAACGGAAATGCAGTTATGGATGCTTCTCGAAGTGGACTGTCCGCTCGGGGGATCCCCGCACCCCCTGAAGGAGCTGGCGCTCCCACTCACCTTTCAAGGTCACCCAGTACTGCTTCCACTTCCTGCGCGGGGCCAGCTCCAGCTTCCTCTCCTTGGGCAGCGTGACGAGGGGCTTGAAGCAGAGCCAGCCGGCCTTGCGCACCACCCCCTGCTCCTTCTCGAACAGCAGGTCCAGCTGCTCCAGCGAGCCCGCCGAGTCGCTGCTGGTCTCCTCCGTCTCCGT